TCGTAGTTCGTGAAATAAAAGGCGAAATCGGAGTCGCCCTGCACCCTGTGCTTCTGTCTCCATTCACGAACACGGCTGGCAGCGATCACCTGGAGGGACGTGTCTGCAGACCACGCCCCCTCGCCCTCCATCGCCTGCACTGCATAGGCTCCCGCCATGATGTGCCACAGCCCAAAGCCCGAGGCGAACTGCGCGAGCCGATGCAACCAAGGAGGCGGACTGCACATAACAAACTGGCTTAAGCGACCTAGCTCAGCACGACACCGTTCAAAACCCTGGGGAAGTAAACTCGGCCGGGAGCACCCTGATGTTCGTGCGCCTGCCCGCCACGTCCAGGGGAAACCTCCGGCAGCCAGCCAAGGGCGAGAAGACTGCGTGCCAGGGCCAAAAGCAACAAAACGGTTACCGACCGCTCGCTGCTGCACTCGGCCAACAAATGACCCGTAGACTGAAAGACCGACCGCCCGCCCCTGATCAGGGGTACCTCCCCTTATATGTTGCGGAACTCCCTGAGATCGCCACCCAGGAGAATTCGCAGCCCTAGCCTCGGACCAAGCCAATGCAGATTTGAAGCGATAGCCTTCTTGTACCACCTCGCCTCCCACGGGCCGCCCTACCTGTACCTCAGGCGGACTCTGACTCGGAGCTCCAAGCCGTGGCCTCAGCAATCCTGACATTGCACGGGTGACATGGTCCAGCCCTAGACCCTGGCTTCAAGAGGTCCCCGCAGTAGAGGCATGCTCGTGGGAGAATGCCGGGGGACTCGCTGGCGCGCACAAACCTGATCCAGTGATGCAGGGCACGTTGCGCCCTAAGGTGCGGAACCATAAAGGCAGAGGCAGCATCGGGAACAGACTCGGAAGGGTCACGCCAAACCAAGTCGCCTTGTTGCCAACAACGAACCGCTGCGAGAAGGTCGTGTACGCGGGTACCCTCCCTGCGAGGCAAGGAGTTAAGCTCGGCCGCGTAGATGGCTGTGAAAGCGTGCGGGGGGACAAGGTCCGAGAGCCGCAACCCCGAACTGAGGGCTTGACGCTCGGCCTCAGACATAAGCTCGCGGGATGCAGCCAAGGCTCGCCGAGCATCAAAGGGACTGATGCCTTCTTCGGGTACCACCCGGCGGCGCGTCCATGGTCCCAAGAACGGGAACTGAAAGCCCCCGAGGCCCTCACGGCATCTTCTGCAGTCAGCCTTGGTACACACGAAGCGCCGCAAAGGAACCGTGACATTACCGAACCGCAACTCCAGTAGCGGGACATCTGACACTGGTAAATGTGTGATCTCGCACACCTGGTTCCATATCGACCAATAGGCGGCCTGCGCGGTCGAGCTCGACCATGTGCACCTGGAAGTCAGCCAAATTTTCGGCTGACAGCAACGGCTGAAGAGTGTGGGTGACGATAACCTCAACCTCGGCATCACCCATCACAATAACACAGGGGTACCTCCCCTGGGAAAGAAAGAAAACTCTAAGCCTTTTTGGA